GGCATGAGCTCGATGACGCGCTCGACCATGAAGACGAGGTGCTGGACCTGGCGCGGCGAGGGATCCGTGTTCTGGCGGCCCGGGCTGAGGTAGTGGCACGGGCGGCGCTCCTTGTCGAAGCCGAGGATGATCTGCTTGCCCGTCTCGTTCTCGGGCGAGATGTGGTCGGGGGTGAGGCCCTCGACGCCGTACTCGCGGCGCCAGGCGAGGGTCTCGAGGAGGCGCTTCTCGGCGTCCTTGGGAACCCACTTGGTGGCGCGGAGGTAGCGGAGCAGGCACTCGCGCGTGAGCCACTGGCGGTCCGAGTCGGTAAGGGGGCCCGACTTATCGGCGTGGGCGGGTGCGGCGCACTTGACCTCCGTCCAGGCGCGGGCGTGGGAGAGGAGGCCGTCGTACTTGGACTGCTGGTCCGGGCTCAGGGGCGGGACGGCTGGGATGGAAGTGGCGGCGGCCGGCGAGGCGATGGGCGTCTTGAGGGGGCCCGACGACGTCGCGGGGGCAGCCTTTTCTTGCGGGCCGGTGGAGGCCGGCGTTTGATCAGCCACGGAGGCCATGGCGGGCGGAGGTGTGTGTGTGTGTGATGGATGGGTGTGGTCTGTCTCGGGAGACGGGCGATCCGAGCGGCTAAATGGACACCTAAGGTTGGTTTGATGGGGGCGGGGAGTACGGATGGAAAGGATCTGATGTCTCGAGCGTTTACGAGTGGCTGTCACCTCACCAGAAGGGGATTGTACCAGGGGCTGGCGTGAGCTTGCAGTTGTCAATGCAATATCAGCACTCTTTGGGGGTGTTTGTGCGTTCAGAGATGAAGTCGGAAAGCGGCTGTGATGCGGGTCGTAAGAGTTGAGCACAGCACACCGCCTGGATGCAGCGATGGATAAGTTTGTGCGTGCGGTATGGGTTTAGGTTGAGATGGAGATGGAATGAGATGAGCTTATGCCGGGAGGCTCAGTTCCGGCCGTTAGTGGCCTCCAGGGACCTTCCCCAAAACGGCACTCCGCGCGCTCCAGGTTGGGCGTCAAGGTCTCGTAGAGCGTTTGTCGAGAACCAAGAAAACGAACAGACAGCAATTGTTCATATTTGCAGGCACCAGTGTGACTCGTGGAACAAACATTGCATCTCATGACGCCTCAAACTTGGTCGAGTGTGTTACCTAGTATGGTAGCTAGGTCACAGAGTCGCATCGGATTGGCGACTCGCCGAATGCCTACCTACGCGTACGTGGGAGGTATCCGTACAGGTACTATGTATACCTATCTTGGTGTCTGGGTAACCACCTAGGTGACTACCGGTAGGTAGTTAGTCACCAAGGTGGTGGGTGCCTTAGGTAAGTAAGTTCGGTAGGTTACGTAGGTAGGTACGTACCTACTCTCAGTGCCAACTACCGGTAGAGCTTTCTTGCCAAGGTTTCGGGCCTTCCAAGTCGTGGTCACGCTGCACAGCGCTAAGCCGGATCGAGGCGTGCCCGGTTCCACGCAGCGTTGGTTGAAGGGTTCCCCCTTCCCCATGGAACGGGTACGTACCCTTGGCATGCCTCTCTCTCTCCTTCTCTCCATTCTCTTACTCACTGTCCCTAATGCATACACATACGCTGACTTCATCATTGATTGATATCCTCCTATACGTACGGCTACTCATGACGCGAATATACCAATCCCGCGCGAACCCCAAGGCTACGGCATCAATGATGAAAACGGTACCTACTAGTATACCATCAGTAACGGCACTCGAGTCGGCGGTGCGATCCATGCAAACTTTACTTTTCGTGGTCCGCGGATCGCTCGTTACGGATACGTGAAACCTCGGACCTCCATCAACCTTCCAACTCTGGCGCGCCCACACGAAGTTCCCTTCTAAATTCTGACAACGGATCAGACCCGTTCCTGTCTCCTGCCGAGTCATGCCGTGATCACTGCTGTCAACACCAACCCCACGGAGCGAGCGCCCGTCAGTCATCTTCTTCCCAGGCCACGGAAATGGCCGAGCCAAGGATGACCATCATCACCTCCAAAGTTTCCGTCCCATACTCGCTGCCGTTTGATAGGGTCCCCGAATGACGACTGACGAACGCACCTAAACACGCGAGCACGACACCACCACCACCGCCACCACCACCACCATCATCACTAGCACCACTGTCGCTTGGGACTGGAAGCGCTTCTGGCCGACCCCGTTGAACAAACAAGCCTTGTGCCGCTTGCAAGCCCCAACGATCATCCGCCATGTCATCTCGTGGCCAACATTGCCCGAACGAGCGACCTAGGCATGGCCAGACGGGTGGCGTCAATCGAGGCGCCGCCATTCCTCCCTCTGCCGGTCCCTCGGTCTTCCGTGTCCGTGGCTGATCACGCTGGTCTCGTTGGAGCCCGCTCGCTTCCCAGCTGCCGGAACTCCAACCATCCGAGCTGTGGCTGCATCCGAGCGTCTGGCTTCTCCTGCTCCCGAACTCACCAAGGAGCGAAGGGTTGTCGCTCTCCGCCTCATCCGTTCAATCCATACGAAGCACTCGGTTCTTCGTTTCCGAGCCTTGGCACATTCCTCCCTCCTCTCGTTGACTCGCCCGCGCCGTCTCATTCTGGAAGCCGCCGGCCTTCTCACGTCGCATGCTCGACAAAACTTTGTTTGCAAGCTCACCCGTGCGGGCGTGCGCCACTGCTGTCTCTTAGTAGTAGACATACTATCTGGGAAATTAATTCGTCTCCAGCCTCCCTATACAATATTACCACATCCACTTCCGCTCCTACCTACTACATCCTGGTTGCCGGTCGTTCCATGCAACTTAGACATCTTCCCTGTTGAACCTAGCCGGCCTCTGGTCATCGCAAGCAAGCCCCCCACCGCAACGAACTGCAAGCTCTGCCGTCGGCAACTTAACTGTCCACCACTGATCGGCACGGCTCCCGGCGTCGGAAAAGAACAAGGGCTGGACCGTATTCTCCCAGAAACCACGAACCCCCGGGATCCACGACCGGGATATTACCCAACAGTAACCTGATGTTTCACCGTCTCCTTGCCTTCTGCAGTTCTGCCTCCAGACTTCTTATATGATGGTCGCCCTCCTCCACTCTCTCTGGCCTCATCCAAATCTCAACAAAGTCTCTCACCCGTTGACGCTCGACAGCCTTTCTTCTTGGTACAACATGATGTTCCCTACCTATCTCGCCCAAGCGTCCATCGCGGCCTTGGTGGTAATGCTCGGAACTCAGATGCAGACAGTCGCCGCCCAGGTAGCACCGCCCGCATGCTCGACAGTCGACCAGCCAAACCCCATCTTTAGCCAGTACCCGAACAACGCGACAGGCGTTCTGAACGTTACGATGGCTATCATTCCGATCCCAATGACGACGGCGCGCCAGATTGTTCCTCAACAATACGCCATCTTGGAGACCTCCTTCCGGGCCCTCATGCCAGACTTCCCGCCCGGCATGTATCCTGTCGTTGTCCAGGCGGGCCACGACCACGATATCAGGTTTCAGGACTTTAGCATTCCCGACTTCAGTGTAAGGACTCAGACGCACACGCTCTGACCAGAGGATGCCGGCTAATATTGTGGAATTTTAGAGAGCTGGTTTTGAATTCCCATTCTTGGACGTCTTGGGCGACGGCACATCTTCGTTCCGATGGGCCCCCGCGCAATTGATTTCGGCCAGCAACCCCACAGCAATCACTGGCTCCGAGGCGTACGGAACCGATGTTCACGCCGCCACCTTTGCCCCCGAGTGTAATGCCTATGCGGCTCTCCCCCAAGGCGGCAACTCCTTCAACGCCTCGGCGGACGGCACCTACATGTCTCTGGAGATGAAGAGCTCAGGTGGCTCCCCGTATACGCTGGCCATGTTCGACGCCATCATCAACCAGCCGATTTTCGCCAATGGTACGAAATGCGACCAGCAAATCCGCTTGTTCAATACGTCCCTGACCCAGGGCGCCTTCGCACCGGTTCCCGTCTGCGGATCCATCAAATCCAACCTAGGACCTTTCAAGACGGACGCAGCCTTCGCCGACGTGGCAGGTTTCCAGGTTGCTACGGCCTTTATTGAAAACAACTATCTCCCGTGCGAAATGTTTAGAGGATACAACCCCGTTAAAACCACATGATACCCCCGGAAGTTTGTTTCGGTTTTATTTATTTTTCTTGGAATCTGTAGAGCACCTGGAGCCGATGGGAGGTTCCCACGATCTGATGATAGCCTTACATTCTTTTTATTTTAATACCCTATGGGGCTCGCACATGGCGGGCCATCATTAATAGACAGCGTGTGCCGCCTGGCAACGCGATTTATATTTTATCCTTGTTTTCTAGTTTGTCGTGACCGTGGTGAATAATTGCCGTGTATAACAAGCGGCATGGCGAAGAATCAAACGTGATGGGCGAATCGCATGCCAGGTCTGTGCCAATGCAAGCAACCGGCTGCTCGATTCTTTGGGACCCGTCAGGGCCTCGGGCACCGTTTCGCCTCGGGACGAACAATAATAGCTTGCGACAGTGGCCGAGCCCCTCCTTTTTTTGCCGGACAATACGCATGCCTCGTGAACACGGACATGTAGAACCAAGATACAACTGATCCAAGGCGGTCGCCCGTAGGATCACAGAGCTACGCAATATTGGCCATACCGAGTTATGGAAACACAGCGAATGCATTGTGCCCGATGCTTGACACAACATAAGATTTATGAAGAAAATCCCATGGAGGTATCCAGGTATCTACCCTATTGACCGCAGGTGGCAACCAAACCGTAAAGGGACATGTAGAACATGGAACATGTAAACACGTCATTTCCGAATGGGCCAGTCAGGGTTGGCTTACACCCGGTGGAGGAGGGAAGCAGAAGAAGAGAAAAAAACCTTTGGTACAGTGCAGTCGGTGCAAGAGTTTTTATGCCCTCTTCATGGGGGCTCGCACCCAATGCGATGCGCCTTTCTCACACGCCGTCATCTTTCGGATGCGGCTGAATGGGCGAGCCAAGCTCGGCAGCCGGGCGCCGGGGCATTCGCCGTACGCCCCCACCCCTCTCCACCGGGCGTGCCGGGAAGCGCATCCATTTCCTTTTCTTTCTTTTTCTTTCTTTGTTTTTTCTTTTCTCTCTGCCAGAACTTCGCCGCAGTAAGGAAAGGGGAGGGCCGTAAACAGCATAGCCGGACGTCCGTCTCACGAGAGGAGAAAAGAAGGAAACAAGGAAGGAGTGTTAAGCGGCAGACAGATGCAACGGGACTAGCCGCTACATACGAAAGGTAGAAGAAGAGAAGCGCGGAGTTGAGATGGGGTATCTAAGGTGGTCCCTCGACGGTACACACAGGTTCTCGATGATAAAGAAAAAAGAAGGGAAAAAAAAGTGGTAATGAAGCATCGCGCCCAATACATACCCTAACAAGATGGGAGGGTAGAAGCGCATATCATGCAGGGCAATTGTTTGAGCCATTTGAACAGGACTATGAGCACCGTTGGGGCCGTATCAATTGGCCAAGAGATTCTCGAGATGGGACGTATTGAGGTTTTTTTTTTGTCATGATGTGACGAGGTGAAGAACAGATGGCAAGACAATTACAGCAATAGGCGCTAGGTATGGCAGCTGGGGGGAGTTATCTCCAAAAGCTCTAGCAGCAGCCTTGGTTAATGTTAATGGGTAGGTTTACTCACGATATCTAGCTCCCTCCCGGAAACACAGCCACCACCGCCGCCATGTATTAGCCACACCTACATTAACATTTTCAGACATTCAAACCTTGGAGGCCTACGGAGTACAAGTCCGTAAGCCGCCGACGATGACGGTGAGTGGAAAGACGGAGTTGGAAAAGAAGAAAACAAAACGGTGGGGGGATTTGAAGATGGAGGTGATGGAATATGCGAGCAATGCGAGCATTGCGAGGAATCTGGTGGAGACATTGATGGCACCTGCTGAGTTGGGTGAGGCTACGAGTCATATGACCCGGTCCAAAGCGGCAGGAACCCGAAATTGGCCCAGTCGGCCAATGTTCAGCTTGATTGAAAGGGGTTTTCCGGGGCGAAGAGGTAAAAAGGGGCGAAAGGATCAGGGTTTCCAGCGCGAGAATGTAACGGGCGATTGAAGCAGGGCCAAAAGCTCGGATATCGTTCATGACAGCAGCTCGATACAGGCGGTTTTGGCTATTGTGCTTGCTCAAATGGGGTAGGACACGGTGAGTCGTGGAGTCGACGATAGGTGTGTGGATTCCGGATGTGGCTGTGCGGAGCCACATCCGGCTTCCGCTCTTGTGGCGCGGGTGGCTGTAGTGGTCTCGCGTCGGTGGACGACTTATACGGATACAAGCTTTGTTATCAAGTTCTTGCGGTGGACGTCTCGCCGGATCTGGTGAGATGAAAAGGGGCTCGCAAGAAATGCTGCCCCCTTTGGAGCTGTGGCGATTTCATGCACCATCAGTGCCGCACCTTCGCACAGGGCGGGCTGGCTGTCGCGTCGAGTTGTGCGTTTCGGGATTGATGCACGTGTGGTTTGGTGATTATTCTGCCCCAAATTCCTCAGTGCAGGCGTCTTCCGCGGTTACAAGTGTGGGGGGAATGTATCCATAACCCCACATGCACACGGTACGAATTTGGGGGTTGGGGGTCAGGGGTTGGGGGTTTATACAGGTATATCGTACCACCATCGTACACGTTTGAGATGGGGCCCGTGCACTGACCGAGTTACACGTTGTGGGAAGCCAAAAGACCATCAAGCGCATCGGAGAAGAGATTATTCCTCTGGGAACCTTTTCCCTATGGGAGGGAAGGGGGGATTTGGTGGCATCTTCTTTGCATGTCGTTAATGTGCGAGTTGAGCGGCGCTTCGTGACCAAAAATAGGTCAGACAGACGTACAAAGTATTATATTTAGTACCAAGGCCCAAGAGTAGGCAAGGAGAAACAGGATGAGGAGTTGGGGTACGATAGACGAGAGACCAGAGGAGGATAAGACGGACGGGCAACTGAGATGGAGGCCAATGATGCGGCTCACAAGGCGGAAAGATGGGCGGATTACAAAACGCGACCAAAAACGCAAGACATGGCATGCGGGTATGGGTGCCACACATGTTTGGAGGTCGGGGGGCCGCTTTGTGTGGCGGGGATTCGCTGCCGCAAGCTCTGGGCCCTGCCACGCACACCTACTCCGTACTATGACAGGTATTCGCATTCTAGTTTACCTCCAATGCCTACTAGGTAACCCAAATTCTACTTTTGACCTGAAACCTAATCTCTATCCCAACCAAACAACCAACTAACCCTACGTCGTCCCTGCGTAGTAGCTTATTCTTTCTTCAATTTTTATGTATTGTTAACCTTTGGTTCTGCTGTACAGCTTTCACGTAGAATTACGTAGAGTAAATGAAATGTTGGCTGAGATGAAAAAACCCGAGAGTGGGGTAATATCGGATTAGCGGCACATACCCCCCTGGTCCTTTTTGTTTGGATCGCTGAGTCGCTGGGACACTGAAACGTCTTCTGCTGCTCTATGTGGCAGTCACAGCCGTGACTGGTTCCTGCTGGCTAGGATGCTGCCAAAGGAGGGAAGGCGCGCTGACTGGCCAATCAAGGAAGAAGCGGCAACTGAAGAAGGCGCAAAGAGCCCCATCATCCTGGATATTCCTGTGTCCCCCGCCGTCCTGAAACTTCAACCTCGGACTGCGTCTTTCCCTTTTCGTCTCTACACTACCACTGTGCGTACTACTATGTGTGCGTGTGAGAGAATCTCCCTTTTCGACCATGAACAGTGGGTAAATTCATCCTCTACTTGGTACGACTTCACTCTCCCCTGTCACCCATCTTCCGCACTGTCTCGCCTACCTACCCAACGCACTTAGCATCATCATCATCTTTAATGTCGCCGCCGCAAGCAGGAATTCTTTACAAGGCTTATTGCAAGTATCCGTGTAGTTCATTAGCTACTCGTATTGGAAAATGAGCAACCTGGTACCTATTCGAATCTCGGTTGTCTGTGTTTCTATCCAGAAGCCTTCTATTCTGGTGTTATGCATTGGCTATAATCCCCATACTGTGCTTATCTTACTGTGTTGTAGTATTATCGTGTACCTTCCCTATGCGACCTTGGCAGGGACTGCCATGGATACGTACCTCAGTCTCTCTGTCTCTCTCTCGCTAGCATTAGCCCATCTCTTCTTCAGGATGTAGCATGAGATGAGATGAGACAAAGACAGGAGAACCACGAAACCGCCGCCATGGTTGTGACGGAATCGGATGGGGCAGAGAAAGGGGGCCGGGGCATACCGACCAAAAGAAGATCATACTACCTAGGTATCTACCTACCTATGTACGGATATCGGTCCACGAGATACTTGCATCCGGCTTTCGCTCTTCTCCTTCTTCCATTTCTCTCTTTCTCACTCCCTCTCTTCCTCCCTCCCCGTTCGCTTCTCTGCCTCTATTCGTCCCTTCCTCTCCTTGGCGCTGGCGCATTGTCTATACACGTCTCTTCCGTGCGTTTTATTCGATTCACTAATCTATTATCGTTTGATAATCGAATCGGTCAAGTTGTCCATCTCTGAAAGCAACAGACGGTAGATCCGTCATCACTCTAGACCGCCTCAATACTTTTCTGCTTCTTCCTCTTCTTCTTCCCCCGAAATGGACATGTCTGAAGCAAAGTACGCCAACATCGGCCTCGATGACCACGACCGCGATGACCGGAGCAGCACCGAGGTCGAGGAGTCGCTCATCGGCGACGGAAAGGCCTGCCGGAGCTGCCTGGCCAACGAGTACCAGAGCCCTGCCGCGAGGAGGACAAACCGCTGGCTGTCCATGCTCAAGTCGTCACGCTACTTCGTCGACACCATCCTGCTGCTCGTCATCCTCGGCCTGCTGGTGAGGCAACAGACCCAGGTGCCCGCCCTGAGCACCTTGCATCCCGGAGATGACCTCACTGGCGTCAGCGGAAAGTGTAAGTATAGCTCAACCCATCGACTGACCCCCGGTTGAAAGGGGAAGCACACCGTGGTATTGCCAAGCACTAGGCTGACGCCGGTACTGCAGTCTCGACCCAGATCAAGACCTTCACTCCCGACTACGAGGGCAAGTATGCGCCCAACGACACCTCAAAGTTCTTCACCGATGAGGTCTTGAACAACTGGAATGAGCTTATGCCCTGTAAGTCGCTGATCTGGTCCACTATTCCTTGGCACCCGATCGATTATACTAACGCCACCCACAGACGGCATGGGCTTCCAATGGGTCAACGACACTCACAAGTACCACGACCTGCCTACCCCCATCGTCTGGCCCGAGAAGACCGTCTTCACCACTTCCATGACCCACCAGCTGCACTGCTTGGTAAGATCCCCCCCTCTCCGCCGGGCTGTCTACACTCCCTCTGACCCTTGTCACAGTTCGCCGTTGTCCAGACGTATTCCGGCCTCAGCTCCGGCCACGAGATCCCTGATGACCACCACTGGCACATGATCCACTGCTTCGCCTATCTGAGGCAGACCATCATGTGCAGTGCTGACATGGCGCTCGAGGGCCTCGAGACCACTTTCCCCGACCACAATGGCGGCTCCGACGGCTGGGATTCCAAGCATGGTGAGTTGCCTCATTCCCCCCTGGTGATGACAATCCCGTAGTGTCCGTGTTGGCTAACCGCGTACCAATAGTGTGCAAGGACTATAGTCAGGTCAAGAACTACCTGGAGGGCGTCAGGGCGTACGACGACAGAGAAATCTTCTAGACCACTAGCGTTTCATTTCAAGAACATAAAATGTACACCATATTTTTCAAGCGGAACCCACATCCACGTGAACGGTCCAAAATAATTGATGATTAACAACTTTCTGAAGCTTACCGTGTCATCCTTAGCATAGTGCTTCGTTTCAATACAAAATAGCCTTGTGAGTTTGTTTGTACTCCTTGATGGAACGGGCCAGCTCAGGATGCCTGCTTTCCAGGCACGGGGATTCGAAGTACTTGATCTCCTCAATCTCCTCCTTCAGCTCCTCTTTTGTCAAGAGCTCCCAGTCGGGAACCTCCGCGTACGGTAGCGGGAGACACAAAGCGCAGTTGCTCCCCAGCTGGCAGTAGCACTCGTTCGGATCCAACCGCCCGGCGTGTCCGTAGCCCTCCCACCGCTCTTGCTCCGCCATCGGCCCCGTCCACAGCTGCCTCTCGAACTCGCGGTCCGACCTCCACGCCGCCGCCCAGTTCTCCGGGCTCATGCCCAAGACGCCGCTGACGTTGACGCCCTTGTACGCCACCTCAGCGCGGATGCGCTCCCAGACCGCGGGTGTGACGCCCCTGTCGTCCCACCGCCACCGCCAGCCGCCGTTCTCGACGTCGGCCCGGACCCGGGACCCCATGGCCGGGTGTACCTGGCACTCGTAGACGTTGCAGACGCACGCCATGGCCGCCGCGCGCACCGAGAGCTCCGGGAACAGGCGGGTGTGCTTCTCGTGGTCCCAGCGCCGCCGCAGGCCGCCGCCGTCCGCGGGCTCGCTGGACCAGGCGCTCATCTCGCCCGAGAGGAAGAGGGGCGTGTGCGAGGCCTTGACGCGGGCGAGGGCCCAGTAGCTCGTCTGGAGGAAGCCGCGCTGGCGCGCCTCGGGCATGGACATGAACTCGCCGAGGAACCGGAGGGGCAGGCTGCACAGGACGTGGAGGAAGCGGGACATAACCAACTCCGGGTTCGTCTCCTGCGCCGGGGGCCTCTGCGAGGG